ATTATTATAATAATACCCCTCAAGGGAGGTTCCTTGATGCTGGTGATGGGCTCTTGATCTAGGGAATTGGATCTGTGCTCCAATTTCCTGAAGTAAGCCTGAATGCCTTCTATTACCCATTCCCCTCCAGGCGCTGTACAATTCCTACGGGTTTAGCAGCTCCCCCTATGATGATAATATTAATAATATAATCATAACTAAGGGCTAAGAACTAATAATAGTTCTAAGCATCAGTGATCGTGTCACTGAAATAATGTCCTCGCTGATGTTACTATGCTCCAGCAAACCTATCCAGATCCTTACACACAAACCCTCCAGACTCTCTTCAGCACCAGTGAGCACTTATCCAAACAGATCATATAAGTGGAATTAACCTCTAAATCAATCAGATACACTATTTATGTTAAGCAAGACAGCAGTAATACTTCCCTGCACCATGGGAAACTGCTTCTTTAGATTTCATGAACATTTCTGAGTGAGTTGTCCCTTAATTCATCATTTTTATTGCATTCCAGCACATAATGGCGCAGTGTGACAATTGTTCATCTGGTCTGCATCATCTGGTGGTGACGATTAAACCTTCCGGAGATACTGGTAACCAGCTGGAGTCGGGCGGTAATGACATCTAAGAGTCTGCTTATTTTATTGGATACACATAAACATGTGGCTCCTCCTTCATAATGGAGTGAAGTGAACTGACTGGTGTTAGTCTCCCTCAATCTCAATTTAATGAAGTTCAGTTGAAGTTTTCTCGCATTATAAATAACCATGCCACATATAAACTAAATAATGTAGATCTTAATATTACGGATTGCGAAAAAGATTTAGGAGTTCTGGTTAGCAGTAATCTGAAACCAAGACAACAGTGCATAAGTGTTCGCAATAAAGCTAATAGAATCCTTGGCTTCATATCAAGAAGCATAAATAATAGGAGTCCTCAGGTTGTTCTTCAACTCTATACATCCTTGGTTAGGCCTCATTTAGATTATGCTGCACAGTTTTGGTCACCGTATTACAGAATGAATATAAATGCTCTGGAAAATGTACAAAGGAGGATGACAAAGTTGATCCCATGTATCAGAAACCTTCCCTATGAGGATAGACTAAGGGCCCTGAATCTGCACTCTCTAGAAAGACGTAGAATTAGGGGGGATATGATTAAGGTGTATAAATGGAAGACAGGAATAAATAAAGGGGATGTAAATAGTGTGCTGAAAATATCTAGCCTAGACAGGACTCGCAGCAATGGTTTTAAGTTGGAAAAATTCAGATTCATGAAGGATATAGGAAAGTACTGGTTTGGTAATAGAGTTGTGGATAAGTGGAACAAACTCCCAAGTACAGTGATAGAGGCCAGAACGTTGTGTAGCTTTAAAAATGGGTTGGATAAATACATGAGTGGATGTGGGTGGGTGTGAGTTGGACCTGATAGCTTGTGCTACCAGGTCGGTTGCCGTGTTCCTTCCTTAAGTCAATGTGACCTGACCTGACTGGATTGGGTGCATTGGCTTAAGCCGGTAGGAGACTTGGACCTGCCTCGCATGGGCCAGTAGGCCTGCTGCAGTGTTCCTTCGGTCTTATGTTCTTATTATTGTTCTCAATTATTATTATAATCAAGGGGAAGCGCTAAACCCGTAGGATTATACAGCGCCTGTGGGGGATGTGGAAGGTATTCAGGCTTAATTCAGGGAAATGGAGGACAGATCCAATTCCCTAGATCAAGAGCCCCTCACCAGAGCCAAGGAACCTTCCTTGAGGGGTATTCTCAAACTGCTGACAGCCCAAGATCGTAATCTGCTCCCTCTTTCAAGGCATATAACTTTGCCAATTCATCAGTTCTGTCATGCTTCTGAAGACCAATGTAAGATGGAATCCACAGAAATACTTTTGTAACTATTTTTTTGTGACTTAACTCATTGCGACTGTAACCAGATGTAAATAAATAAATAGTTCATTGCCACTATAACTTGTTCAGATATCAAAACTATGCGACCCAGTCCCTGGACCCATTATATGCCTCTGTAATCTTTTGACTACCTCCCACAGGATGGGTATAGGGTGCGTAAGATAATATAGTAACCTAACCACAGTTCCTTTCTTTCCCTGCCAAAAATTTCTTAAATCACAGTTAAAGCTTCGTTGTGAAGCCAAGCACGATGCCTTACGTTGTATGATGCCTTAGTATCGCAGAATGACAAAGGAAATTTCCTTTGGTTCTGGAGTTCCTTGAGCTCCTTAGACGCCGGTCTGGGACTCCAAGATGCAGCAGGCATTCCCTCTCTGGATCGCCAGTGAAACACTGGAAGAGATTAGGGAGCAGCCCTCGGATTTTTGGAGATTACGATGAGTCTGCATTCTTCTACCTCTTTGAGGAAACCCATAGGGGCCAAAGACCTCTGATTCTAAAGGGACAAAGAGGTAATGCTAAGCCAATTTCTTATACTTGATGGCTCTGTTCTTCTTTGTGATCATCAGTACTACCCTGCTGATAACACTAAATGGGATCTAGGTGTTGACCAGGGTTTGATGAACAAGCATAGTCCACATGAGGCTTGGTCTCAGACCGAGCCGCGGGGGCGTTGACCCCCGAAACCCTCTCCAGGTAAACTCAGGTACATCATCGGTCTGCCACACTGTCAGGGACAGAACCCGATCTCATTGAGGTGGGTGGCAGGGGTACCTGGAGACCTGGAGTTTACCTGGAGAGAGTTCCGGGGGTCAACGCCCCCGCGGCCCGGTCTGTGATCAGGCCTCCTGGTGGATCAGAGCCTGATCAACCAGGCTGTTACTGCTGGCTGCACGCAAACCAACGTACGAGCCACAGCCCGGCTGGTCAGGAACCGACTTTAGGTGCTTGTCCAGTGCCAGCTTGAAGACTGCCAGGGGTCTGTTGGTAATCCCCCTTATGTATGCTGGGAGGCAGTTGAACAGTCTCGGGCCCCTGACACTTATTGTATGGTCTCTTAACGTGCTAGTGACACCCCTGCTTTTCATTGGGGGGATGTTGCATCGTCTGCCAAGTCTTTTGCTTTCGTAATGAGTGATTTTCGTGTGCAAGTTTGGTACTAGTCCCTCTAGGATTTTCCAGGTGTATGTAATCATGTATCTCTCCCGCCTGCGTTCCACGGAATACAGGTTCAGGAACCTCAAGCGCTCCCAGTTATTTAGGTGTTTTATCTCCGTTATGCGTGCCGTGAAGGTTCTCTGTACATTTTCTAGGTCAGCAATTTCACCTGCCTTGAAAGGTGCTGTTAGTGTCCAGCAATATTCCAGCCTAGATAAAACAAGTGACCTGAAGAGTGTCATCATGGGCTTGGCATCCCTAGTTTTGAAGGTTCTCATTATCCATCCTGTCATTTTTCTAGCAGATGCGATTGATACAATGTTATGGTCCTTGAAGGTATCAGGGGTGATGGGTAATAAAGACAGGTGTTCTCTTGCCTGGGCACTGAGCTGTAGCAAAGCTTTTCTTGATCTTGTTGACTATATTGTGTCCACCATCCTTTGGAACTAGCACAGTTCCAGTTCATAACATGCAGACCATATTGGTCAGCTACCACCTTGATGCCATAAACTTGTACTCAAGTGTGGATAGAGGTAACAAGGTGGAGAATCACTACAATGAGAAGGGTCTGTGGGTCAAGATATGTGCGTGTGTCTCGTATCTCGATCGTCAGCGCACTCAGCTCACACACTAAGGTCCGGAGTTCGAATCTCCGGTACGGCTGGAAAACATTAGGGACGTGTTTCCATAAGACACCTACTGTCCCTGTTCACCCATCAGTATAAAATGGGTACCTGGGTACTAGTCGACTGGTATGGGTCGCATCCTAGGACAAAACTGACCTAATTTGCCCGCGAAAATCACTCCCTGTGAAAGCAAAAGACTAGGCAGGAAATGCAACATTCTCAATGAAAAGCAGGGGCGCCACGACTACATTGAGAGACAACACAAATGTACAGGGCCCAAGACTGTTCAACTGCCTCCAAGCATAAATATTGGAGATTACCAATAGACCCCTGACTGTATTCAAGAAAGCACTGGACAGGCACCTAAAGTCAGTACCTGACCAACCGGGCTGTGGTTCGTACGTCAGTTTGCGTGAGGCCAGCAGTAACAGCCTGGTTGATCAGACCCTGATCTACCATGAGGCCTGGTCTCAGACCGAGCCGCGGGGGCGTTGACCCCCGAAACCCTGTCCAGGTAAACTCCAGGTAATAACAAGCGGCTTTCTATACAGTAGTATGTCACTGATGTCAGCTAGGACTGTATACTTTGTACATGTACTTGTAGAAATAAAGATATTATATTACGTTGCAGGAATAGAATATGTTAGGAGAAAATCACCTGAATGATGTGCACTCATAGCTAAAAGGTTCAAGCTTTCTTTCTTTCAGAGCTTGCACTCTTTAATATAGCTAAAAAAAAAAGTCTTGTTCGTGATGAGAATGTTCCAACTGGATCGTATGTGAGCCAAAGTTACAGCTGGTCTTGTCTGCTCTGAGAGGGTATCTGACATGCTGGTGCCACCAGTGTAACTGAGGACATCCATCCCAGGCAAATTTCGTGTATATTCTGGTACAATTTCTTCAACCATTTACATGGATCCGTTAAAAGATCAAAAGGCTGACAAGGCAGTCCGAGGCTGTATGTATGCTCAGTGAGCTTCATATGACTGGAAGTATGGCTTGCTCTTACTGCTGTTCGTTCAGGAAAACGGTAATTCGTTTTCTTGAATAAACTTTAAAAGAATCTTACCCTCATAGTTTGGGAATGACAAAGGATGGAGAGGATATTTTATTTTATTAACCTCAACAGGCTTTTCTGCAGAGGAAATCAGCCTTACATTTTTAATATGACCTATTAATATAGCAGTTGTATTCGCAATACTGCAGAGTTAGGTATGTGATATATGGGAGTAGTGTGCGTGAGTACAGATAGTTGCGACATGAGAGAGAAAGTGACAGGTTGTAGTGTTGAGTGTGACACTGCAGACGACACCCACCACCGCCGCTACACTGCCATCTGTTGACGTCCGCAACAACGTGTATTCCTCCGCCTCGCAAGAACAAAAATCACAATCAAATTTTGTTTGTGAACATTTTTTGCTAAATTATTTTTACGTTGAATAATACATAGGTTTTGACTGTCGGTGAGGTATGCGAGGAAAAAGTTACAAGGTAGTGAAGAAGGACTAGTTTGAGGTGCGGCGCGGGGAGAGCAGCAGCGGGTCGGCGGCCGTGACAACCTCTTGTTGTAGGGAGTCACCGGTGTAGCAACGCTGTATATATTTCTCTGTTTAACGCCCCAAAACGAGCCATCATGGATGAGGAATACGACTGCATCGTTCTCGGTACCGGCCTGAAGGTAAGGGTCACCCTTTCGCACCATGATATAACAACTTTGGTAATTAATTTTAAGAAAGTTGGCTTCGATCGGCTGCGGTGATGGTATGGCTTGACATTTCTGTGGCGGCAGGTTGGACCAGACAGAAATCATGTCAGTGTCTTGCCACGGGTACATGTCTACCCTATGACTGTTTCGAGTAGCTAGTTAGCATCTTACCATGTGATTGATGTGTTAGGTTGTGGTAGATGCCGCAATGCGGTAGGTGTGGTTGATTAATAGGTAGATGGAGGCGTGATCAGCTGATCTAGGTCTCCGCCCAACGCCCATCCTGGCAGCATCTCCCTCTATCTCTTATACCTTGTTATCTATCGCTAATTTGTGATTTTTTTTTGTTATTATCCGCTTCTTTGAAGTCATTTTCCGCCTTCATCTAGGTGTGTGTCGTTATTTGCCTTATCTGGTTATCCTAGGCTTCTTTTCCATATCCCAGGTTGTTTCTACCTTGTTATCCCAGGTTGTTTCTACCGTGTTATCCCAGGTTGTTTCTACCGTGTTATCCCAGGTTGTTTCTACCGTGTTATCCCAGGTTGTTTCTACCGTGTTATCCCAGGTTGTTTCTACAGTGTTATCCCAGGTTGTTTCTACCGTGTTATCCCAGGTTGTTTCTACCGTGTTATCCCAGGTTGTAAGATTTTATTCAGGTACAGGTACACACAAATAGTTACAAAAATTATTCATACATAGCAGCATGTGTAGATTACCTTGGATAACCCCAAAAAAAGTCAGTGACTTATTTCCATTGGGGTCCTTGTAATATTTGTTTTAAGTTTATCGTTAAAATGGGTAAGTAATTTAACTAGGTGAAAAATAGTTACAATAAAATGAGATACACTAGGGATAAGTTACATTAAGTTATGTACATTAATATTAAAGATAGGATCAGATTACAGGTATATTCCAGTTATGTTAGATATACAAGAAATCACTCTTCTGTCTGTAGCTACATTCATTAGGTACCTCTTGGCTCTCCTGAACTTGCCCATGCTATGGCAGTCATTGACATATCTCAGGTTGTTTCTACCTTGTGGTTTAGCACTTCTTTTGATTAAAATAATAATTCTACCTTTCTATCCTGGGTTCTCTGCCTTGCTATCAAGTTATCTTCTTTATCTCTAGTTATGAGGTATTCTCTACCTTGGTTTAGAAAGACACGTAAGCAAACACTATAACATATTTATTAGAAAACGTTTCGGTCCTGGGACCTTGATCATTTCTCTTCTTTTCTAATAAATATGTTAGTGTTTGCTTACGTGTCTTTCTAAACCAACTTGTCGGTATTTATTACCAAGGTTTATACCATTCTCTACCTTACTATCCCAAGTTCCCTACTTAATCCAAAATTTTGTTTATCCATTGTTTCTTTGTCATGTTGTTCTGTCTATCCCTTGGTGTCTACTTTAATTTTAGGGAAGTACCTTGATGCTTGTGAGGCTTTCTTGATTAAAAATAAAAAAAAATTGTCTGCTGTATCCTGTGTTAGTCTATTTTGTTATCCCTTGTTTTGTCAACTTCATGGGGGTTTGGCACAAACATTCGCATATGTTACATCTAACATTGCCTGGATATATGACATTATGGGTAATGCAGGTAAAGGTCTCAAATTTTTACTTTTCTGATTACATTATACTTGGAGAACATCTGTTTAGTGTTGACTAGGGTAACAAAGCAAACTGTCAATGTGTAGTCTATATTGTACCTAAATATAGGTACAATATAGACTACACTACACAATGAACATGTATTCTCTGTAAGAAAATAAGATCAAATAAAAATGATCTGCAGTCAGTAAACAAGACTAGCACATCTTTTGGACAAAAAGAGAGGAATTTATAGTTACACATCAAGATAGAAGGGGGTTACCTTACGAACCAGTATGTTCTCATTTAGGTAAAAGAGAAAAAAAAAGCTAAGAGACTATGAAATTAAGGTTGCAAGACAGTTGGATAAATTCCCCCCCCCCCCAAAAAAAAAAAAAAAAAAAAAAACTTCCAGGTATATATAGTAAGCATATAGTAAAACAAAGCTTGGTTTGGACCCCACAAGACTAAACTGGACAGCTTACTGATAAAAAATTACTTAATTTTTAACAAACATTTCAAGGTGGTCATTACACAAGAAAATAGAAAAGCCTAGTAATTAATTATCACATTGGACCTGAGAAAAATTATGTAATACCATCATTTGCTAGACATGTTTATGAAAAGGTATCATACCTTATGCGTATGGAAGAAGCTAATTTGATTTCTAACTCCAAAACTTGAGGTAAGTCCCTACCATGAAACAACTGTCCAGTTAGCCTCACAGGAATAGTAGTAGGAAAATTATTAGAATCTTTGAGCCAATTTGATTATCGCTATGTATTCACAAGGGGCTGTTCATGCATAATTTTTTTTTAATGAGGCACTTTGAGGCAGTGGATCATTATCTTTATTTGGACTTCAGTAAGCATCTTGATAGTCCCACATAGATAGATAGTGGCAGCACATAGCCATAGCATTGGAGGAAAATTTCTTATAGATTGAGGTATGGCTGACAGACAGGCATTATAATTTGTATAAATGGGATGAAATCAAAATGGTGACTATTCAGGCATGTTTATAAACTGCATTAATGACATTGATGAGAAAATAAAATATTACATTAGTGAAAGTTTTTCTTTTTCGGGCCACCCTGCCTTGGTGGGAATCGGCCAGTGTGATAATAAAAAAATAAAATTAGTGAATTTACTGATGGCAAAAATATGCTGACATTCACAAGGTACCACTGATCCTTGTTGATTTAAATGTAATAATTGGAGAGGCAGCAATGAAGTTCAATATGGGAAAGTACAAAGTCCTAATCTTTGGAAATGAAAATAATCCTAGCACTTAAACTGAACTATTTAGCCCTTGTTCATACTAAATATGAAAAGTATTTGGGAGCTATGGTGAGCAGATGTGTGAAACAAAGACAGCAGTGCCAAAGTGTCTAAAATGGTAAACAGACAGCTTTGGTTTATCTTAGGTTGTATCACCAGTAGGGGTTCAAAGATTGTAATACAGCTGTACACATTAGTACGACCTTGTTTGGACAGTAAGATGCAGTCCTGGTTTCTACTTCAGAATGGCTGTAAAGCATTGAAGCACAATGAAATGACAAAATTAATCCACTATATTAAAGAAGCATTCATATGAAGGTAGATTGAGAGTCCCGAAAGTATATTCCTGAAAGATGTAGAATGAGGGATGATATGATTGAAACACTGTTACGTACTCGATGCAAGTTGAAGGAAAGCACAAGTAAAATACAGTATGGCCCTACTTCTGCAGCAGGTTAGGTTCCAGGCTATTGCTGGAAAGCAGAATGCCATTTTTCACTTATAAATGCATATAAATGCAAGACAAGAAGTTTACACTGACTTGTATTAAGTTAGTAATAGAACTAGGCATTAAAAAACACAAAAAGTAAAATACATACACAGTACTACATTCATTACTTACCTTAAAATATTTGTAGTCTTAATGTAGGGCAAGAGGTGAGTAGTACTTATTTCCAGGAAGTCAGGTGTAGGTAGATGTAGTTATGTAGTCCGCCTGGCTACACGGCTGCACCTGTATTACTATGGTGTTAAGACTAGAAGGACACTCTTAGTGATTTTAATGTGTACCTGCATGCCAGCACAGTGTGCAAGTGTATTTAGGTACAAGTACACATCAGTATAATCAGAGTACATGTACATATAAAATATGCAATAACTTTAAAACACTTGAAATTTGGAAAGTTTCCAGACATAGAGATGTGCTCACTCAGAATGTAAACAAACCAGGTGGGGTGCACTGTATTTGAAAGATGGGATCCGTATAGTGAGTGTTGGTCATAATTTGAAATCGCCGTATTAGCAGAATGCCATAAAGCGGAGCCCTACTGTAAATACAAATAGGATACTGATATTATCCAAACAAGAAACAACTCCATCCAAATAATGAATTAAAGTTGAACAAATTTAGATTTCGAAAGGCTATAAAAAAATGACCTGGTTTGGCAAAAGATGAGGATGAGTGGAACAAACTGCTAAGAACAGTGATCAAAACTAACAACTTGAGTAGTTCTAAAACTAGGTTGGACAAATTCTGTATGAGAATGGTTGGTTGTATTTAAGAAATGTCTGCATGTGGGAAAGTATGCTTTGCTGCAGTGTTCCTCAGTTATTACTTCATTATCCCATGTCCAGTTTTCATTCATTATCCTATGTTTTGTTGCCCCATCTTCTCCCCTACCCTGTTGCCCCATCTTCCTCCTTCCCTGTTGCCAGCAAGCTATTGAAGAAAACTTTACATTTAATTGACTCTTTTATGTCTTTGATACTATAGCCTTGGCATCTCCCACAGTGCAGCAGCATTTACTAATTACTCTTAATATCCAGAGAAATGTTTTATGCCCCACTACCATGCACACTTTTCTCATCGTTGTCCTCATTATCTTTAAGTCGTCCTGCAGTACCATGATTGGATGCTTTTCAAATGTGAGACTTGCACAAAGGTGTTCTACACTACAGCACAGCCCAGTGTGAATTGAGTTGGATACATTAGAAAGATTTGAAAGCACTGATGCCTTGTACTTAATACTGTACTGTAATTACTTGTATCAGTAGAAGGTGTGGAAATCAGTTAAGTTATTGAAAACAACCCCAGAATTGATGCTAATGAGCTAATGATACCAACAAGCTATGATTCATACCAGTGCTCATTAATAATTTAAAGTACTAGTCAAAAATTTTGCTTCAGAAAGTGGCAATTACTGTTTAACTGATGCTGTATCAGAAGCAGAGTTCACACATTGCTCATAGGCCTCAAATGAAAGTGAACTGCATTTCACAATTTACACCACAAAATGCTAAGCTATGGAGCAAGCTTAGGTTCTGGAGAAGAAAGGTAAGCAAATCAAAAGGCCACAAACCAGGACAGGGGCGAGGTGTACAG